CCATGCGCCCCGGTGATACAATTTTCATACCAGGACCGATAGAATCGGTCACGTTGGACGCTATTCAGACATCACAGCGGCAAAATGTGGAGAGAGTGCAGCAAGCACTAGTAGATATCCACCGACGCGCAAGTCAAGTGAATAACGCTGTTCGCGCTACGGGCAGAGAGGCACGGAACAAAAAGAAGGGAACAACGATGGCGCAATTTGACATTGGAGACTTTGTGCTATATGCAGATGTGTGGCAACATACACGCAGCAAGCTTCGTGTGAAGTGGTGCGGACCTGCTCAAGTAGTTGGTACGGTATCCAACTGGGTTTTTGAGATTCAAAACTTGGTGACAGGACAGCGCAAAGAGGCCCATGCCAGTCGATTAAAATTTTATGCAGACAGCTCTCTTAACGTCAATGAGGACCTTCTTCAGCATATTGCGCACAACAGTGAGGGACATATAGTGGAGAGCCTACTCAAGGCACGCTACAATAAGAACGAAAAATGCCACGAGATTAAGGTGCACTGGCGGGGGCTAGATATTCTAGAGGACTCGTGGGAGCCTGCTGCTGTACTGTTTGAAGATGTACCAAGTGCTGTTAAGGCATTTGTCCGCGAACACGGTAAACTTGCGCCAGTCAAAGCGCTGCGAAAGGCTCTGAGCATCAAGTAATCGACTTAACGTTGCCAGCAATTGTCTCATAGGTAAGATATTGGCTGCAGGAGAAAACGATGTCTTTCGGAGGGGGAAGTGTTGTAGCGGTTGCTACAAGTACAGTAAGTTGCTGGGATGGTGCCCAGCAACTACAGCACTTCTGGTCGGTGTTTATACCTCGAACGAAGAGGTTGAGTAACCACCGACCAATCCCGCAATTTGCATATTTTTAGTTCTTTTCTAACAACAGAGAAATGAACGCACTTCTACTTTTAGTTTGACGGCGACACCGATCAGGTTTTCATGCCGGAGGCGGATTCGACAGATAATTGGGCTTGACCATGGGGGTGGGAGGAAACTTGTTTTCGTTGGCGTTCATGACTGAAGCCCGAGAACGTTGTAAAGTGAGTCTCTAAGAGCTTCGGTGAAAGGAAGTGGGGGACGTGGGGGCAGGTAGTGTGTGGTGAGCAGGAGGATGAAAGACAGACCCAGCGCGATCCACGAAAGAGAGCCAAGAGCAAGTACAGTAGCACTTTGCAACGCAGCAAGGTGAGCGGTACCGCATACAAACACTCCACTCTGGAATATGTGCGGATGGCCGCATGGACGACTTTGTTGTCAAGAATGGCACCACCGCATTCAGTGTGAGCAAGTGGTTTACAGCAGATACACGTGGAAGGCAGAGTTGGTCGCAATCTACAGATCTCGTGAGCCGTGTAGTCGGCTGGACAACACCCTGGCTCAGTTAACAATACATACACATGTACAGATATTAATTGTACAAGTAAAGTTCATAGCTCTCTCAAATAGCTACATGTATTACATGTTTAAAGCCTCTTTTAAAAATACGTACACGCATCCGTCTATTAATAGGTGAAACGCTGACGGAATAGTTGCTTGCAATTTTCAGGCCAGAGAGAGAGAGTTCCGGTCAGTTTCCGACGGGCTGTGGTTGCATTGACTGGTCTCTATCCCGTTGTGGCGGTGCGATGAAAAAGTTGTTGAGCTTTGCTTCTGGCACCGCAGAGAATGTTGGTCTTGAAAACGAGTGATTGTGTATGCATCGCACACGGTGCATTTGCTCATTTGGAAATTTGCCTTCGGTCGCAACAACAACAAGACACTCAATGAACCCCTCCCTGATGGCCACGCGAAACGCGCTCCCGCTTACTAACCCTGCCACGCTCATGTACATCCGCGAGAAGACGGCTGCCACCAACGCAGAGATGACCACAAACAGCGCCAATGGGCAGCCTCGCAAATCCACGGCAAGGTTTTCGCGCAAGATGAAGGAGCTGCTCTCCGGCAAAAAAGCTGAACGGGAGCAGGGCGCGACTGATCTGCCGGCGAAGAAGAGCCCGTTTTACCGACAGTTTGTAGAGGCAAGAGCGTTCGTGAACACCGGTCTTCGTAGGTAGACTGACCTTGCTTTTGGTGGAGTTAGCGCGAGCAGCAGATTTGACAAGCTCACCCTAAACGGTGCGCACGATGACAGTATTGTAAATTAACAACGAGAGAAGCTGTCCTTGCCACGTTTGATGTTCTCTTTTGATAGCTGGCTGGTGCTCTAGAAATTGTAGAGCTACCAGCAATTTGCTGTACATGTACAGCAATTGTGGTACATGTACGGTAAGTACAACGCTACCATCATTCATTTCATTTCAGTTTTAATTGGCGATACAATTCCACAATGGCAATCGGGTAATCGAAAAACAGCATAAGCTATACTGTGCTATACAGTATAACGCTTGGTGTCCGATGACAGAGTTCATACAGGATAACAGGATCTTGATGCGTCACTTTGTCGATCACCCCATCTTTTGCACTTCGAAAACTGAAAACTACAATTTCTAGCTGACTGTTGACTGGGCGCTCAGAAAATGGCGATCATGGGCCCCTCAAGGCAACTTCAGTTCTCTTCATTCGATAGTGAATGAAGATAGCAATGCATTTTTCAGGAATGATGGTACTGCTCAACTTGAAGCGGCACAGAGCTTCTCACTTTGCAACTTGCATCGCAGATCAACAGCACCCCAAGACTCCAGCTGCCAGGATGAATGCACACACTCGCTTCGCACTCCCTTTGAACACATACGGCAGTCTCAAGCTCCTACATGACAAGACCCAAGCGAACGTTGACAACAGGACAGACAAAACGATCAACCAGACTGCTGCAGCCACCGCCACCACGAATCAGCAGCGTCACAACTCAAAGTTTTCGCAAAAGATGAAGATGCTACTCCCCGGCAAAAAAGTCAATGCCGGGTCGGCATCGGAGGACAGCAAGGCCACGGTGAGCGGGCGGAAGCGCGCGACAACGGTCCATCTCATCGGTTCGCACGCCTTCGTGCAGCTAGGTCCACCCTAGAGGTTGAGGATCGAATTTCCGGCGATTACTGCGGTGGTCTTCAATTTTCAATGATTTATAACTTAGTAGCGTTGAATTTGTATATTCGGATAGCTCTCATAGGAAGGTGCTAGTACCGGTAGGAGGAATACTAGTAATGGCCACACCAAGTGCATCAGCGGCTTTCGACATCGCTACAGCAACTTGAAAACACCTTATCCATTGACTACACTCGCTTGATAGTTTTCCCAACACTTGAGACCAACGTGATCATCACGATATCTGACTTTGATTAACCGCCCTTGCCTTCTTTTAATCGAGCATACTAGATCACTCAATGTGCTTGGATCACAGCGCTTAGTTTTGTTATTGCTAGCATCAGCGTAGTGCTGCATATGTTTGTCTAAGTATTTGTAGATTTTTGTGAGTCGCTCCTGTAGCCATCTCATTTATTACGTCCACCACACCAACCTTCAATCTGACACCAATTCTTCTTTCGTACTTACACGAACCTGTTCTGTACTATATTTCCAATTCCGCGCGCAAGACGACATTTGAAAATCGCTCAGGGTCAACTAGGCGGGAGGCGCATTCACTGTCGCTTTTCTCTCTGTGTGTGCATTCTCATGGTGGCCGCAGTGTCCATCTCCCTCTCAGCGATGCCGCGTACCACGCGAATGCCCACACGCGCGTCTCCTCGAGCCTCCACAGCCTCCACAGCACCCACAGGTCCATCCACATCCGTCACAGCTCCATCCACTCGCCGTCGACCTCGCATTACTGGCCCATTAAAGGGCGTTGTAGCCATGGTAGACGTCCGCGTCGGTGCAGACGCTCAGATCGACTGCAGCGACGTCGTGGCTCGTAAACTGCGCGAGCTCGGGGCCTCCACCGTTAAGCGCTTCACTCCCAAACTCACACACATGGTACTTAGCCACTTTACACCCGTATGGAAGACCAAGATCGGCAAATGGCAAGCAGGAGGCGGCTCCATGGCCGCAGCAGCCACCAGATACGAACTAAAGATCGTCTCCCAGCTCTGGGTCAACGCCTGCTACGTCAGTAAGAAGCGCATGGACGAGCGACCATTCTTTCCGGTAAGTCAGCAGAATATCATCGAAACCAACGCTAGTAGAGCCAAACCCAAGCTCAAGAGGCGACAATCGCTCGGATCGGATGCGCCCAAGACCGACAACAAAGAGAATACAGACAACAAGGCGTCAAGCGCCTCCACAGAGGACAAGAAGGAGGCGGCGGCAGCGCCACCGTCGAAATTTAAGGTAAACAAGGCGCTAAATGGCGGCAGAAGGAAGCGACGCGCTCTCTCCATGGAGCCTGCGACGTCCGACGCCATTTTGAAGATGCTGGGGACAAGCGAGCCCGTGCAGGAAGCCGAGTTCAGCACACCTACGAAACAGCCTATTCGTTTGAAGAGTGTCAGCTCGTCAGCCAAGCGGAGGAAGACGCTGAATGGTCCACCGACACAACAGGATGAGGACGAAGTCACAGCGTCTCAAGCGAGTGGAATCGTAGCGGAGAGCGAGTCGGAGAATGAGGACGAGAGCAAAGACAAGACGAACGACGTGATTGTGATCCAAGACAGTCAAGCGAGTCAGCCGTCTCCTGCTCAGCCCATGATTTTATCAGGTTCCACGGGTACGCCCACGACCAGCAATGGAGAGCTCGATATCGCTACCCCGGACGACAGTAAGCAGCCCACAGCACGAGAATTACGACGTCGCAACAGGAATTCGCTCTCGTATGGCAGTGGATTGACGCTGAAAACCGGTATTTGGTCCTGTGCCGCATGTGGATGCTCGAATCCACGAACTCGCAGATATTGTACGGACTGCCAGGCTTCCAGGGGCTCAGCTAAGTCGCCAGGTGCTGATAGTACAGCTACTGCGTCGCCTGCAACCGTTGCAAGCACCGTAGCAGACTCTCCCAAGACTCCTGCCACACCGACGACAACTGTGTCCGCCCCAGCGACACCGAAAGGCAAGACGCCGACTTCTAACACGAAAGCGAGAACGCCAGGCTCGGCTAACAGCGTCAAGACGCCTCTCAGTAGTCCGTCGATGCGGGAACGGACGCCGCGGTCACTGACACGACCGACAGCCAGCTCAACTGCCAAGATTCGAACGCCAAGTCCAGCAGCATCTAGAGCAGCGCGAGCATCAACAAAAAGCGCAACGCCCAGTCCTGCCAACCGGTCAAGAACTCAAAGTCCAGTGGCACGTAGCGTGGCACCCAAACCGACAGCGCGTTCGTCGTTGGCAAGTGCTTCCGTGTCGATAGACAAGCCGAAGGCTCCAGTGAAGAAAGCGAAGCGGAAACTACCAGCAACGGCAAGCGCCATAAAGCTCACACAGAGTGCAGCGAAGAAACGTGCTCGTCCTCCTGTCTCCAGCAGCAGTTTGACGACTCCTGTGGTCAAGAAGGCGCGACGAGAGAACAGGGACGACACAGTGAACAAGATGGTGACGCCAGGCTCAGTTTCTGGCTTCATGAGGAAGCATCGCGAGGTGAATTCGACTCCAATCCCAATGGCGATGAGTTTCTCCAGCACAACCAGCAGGAAATCGCCGCGAAAGAGTCCACGCAACGTGTTTGGGATCACTGGAGTCAGTGCAGAGGCGCGTGGAGTTCTTCAGTGTGCGATCCACGCAATCGACGCCAATATGGCCAACGAGCCTGGATACCGCAAAGCGCGCGTGGTCAAGAGTATGGATTACGCTGCAGGAGTGACGCACCTTATCGTGGGCAGAGATGCGAGACGCACCATTAAAGTGCTCTTTGCAATCGCTCGTGGAGCGTGGATAGTGACGGAAGATTGGGCGTTTTCATCACTGGAACAAGAGCGTTGGCTGCCCGAAGAAGAGTTTGAACTGACCATGTTTGCGAACAAGTACTCACGTGAGCATCCAGAGTCTCGACAGGTCTTCAAAGGCACCAAGTTCTTCGTCGGATCTAACGTGGAACCATCACGTGAAGTGCTTCAGTCTCTAATTCAAGTCGCTGGTGGAGAGGTGAGTTACTGTAGGTGAATTGTTATGGGCATTTGTTCGCTAAAGTTTTGTTATTTGTGTTGAAATTTACAGCTCTGCAACCAGATTTCAGTTGCTGACATCTGCATATGCGGCGATGCCTCGTTGTTCCGACGAGCTCAGCGGACTGGTATTCGTGTCGTCACCTCGAAGGTAACGTCTACGTACTGTTAAAAGTGCTGAGCTAGAACCTGCTCAACTAACTGGCATTTTATTCAGTGGGTTTTTGATAGCATCGCGGCTATGAAGCTCGAAGACGACGCTAACTACGCTTTTACGGAATCGTTCGGCACGCCGGCTAAGACTCCGATAAAAAGTCGGCGTGCAGTGGAATGTTTCGGTACGCCAGCGCTCACTCCCGCAAAAAGTCGTTCAGCTGCAGCTTCGGGGCTTGAAGCTCACTCCACCGTTCCAGAGTAAGGCAAACGTTGGAGAATCGGTATCGTATGCGTACACTACGTCGCTGTTGCGACCTTCCCTAATTTTGAATATTCACTTTTTTAAGCCAAGGAAATGGGTTCACTCGTGTGTTCACACAGAAAAATGAGTCAATTGCAGATATTTTTATAGGAAGTATTTCTGTAACTGTGAGTGTAGCATTGAAAGAAAAATGACACGTAACTTGGCAGTACAGTGAAGCTTCTAGATAATGTATCATAACCGACACAAAAAACGTGAGTGCGGGGGGGGGGGTGAGATTTTATCAATGAATGATAGGAGCTACTACAGTGGTACTACTTTTTATAAACTTAAACGTTCTTTCGGGTTTATCCACATTAGTGAGCGTTGCCAATATGATACTTCGTACTATTATACATGTACTGGTACGTACCGTTTATGTTGCGTTTCTTTTATCGCTCAAACTGCTTGCTCCTTTAAAGAAATAGTTTTTGTCAATGGTTGCACCTTTACATAGTGACATTTTGTACCAACTACTTCTGGAAGCTGATGATCCGACACAAAAGGCCTCGTTTTGTTAGTCAAGATGCAACTATGCTATAGTCTGTACCAGTGTAGCTCTCCTAAAACCAACCATCTCAAGTCTGCTGCTAGGCAGCCTGCTTGCAGTGGGCCAGCTCTAATCTACCTTACTTCGTCTTTTGACGCCTACAAGTAGCTGGATCGTCTCTCTTCATCTTCTCTACCTGCCTACCGAGCCGTAGGTTATGAGCCCAAGCCAAGCCTCTAGCAACGACTTCCCACGCCTCATCGGCGCCGAGAACTTCGAAGTCTGGAATACCCGTGTGTGTGTGGCAAGCACCTACCCGGCTACGTGAAGCAGCCCGATTACGATGGTGTGTCTGGAGACGAGAGTAAATACAGCGGCAGCGATATGTCTGATGTAAACGATGAACCGCATGCCAACGCTACCAAGAACGTTAAAATCGACTCCGACGCTGTGGACTACGACGAGAGCGACTACGATCTCAAGCCACCCTCGGACTCAGACGATGACTCTGGAGCCAGCTCCGAATTTTTAATCAAGAGAAAGGACCTCCCGGTTGTTCGACCATTTAACCAGCGCGAGGCTCGCCGTGCACGCAAACGCGCCAAGAAAGAGAAGCACCAGCCTCTTAGCCAGCGTGAACGCCGTCGACAAGAAGCCAAGACCAAAGTCTTCTTCATGTAAACGATGAACAACATGCACGTGCGGCTGGTCAAGAATCTCACGACATCCTACGAGATATTCAACTACATCTTCCAGAAGTACGAGGGCCGCCTTTCATGGTGATCAGTAATTTATCTTCCTCAAGCTAAAGAACGCGATGAAAACCACGTCTGAAGCTACTGAATTGGTGATGACCGAGGGACAGAAGTCTATCTACCTGTTCTACTCGATGCCCAAGTCATGGAAGGACGATCTCCGCATCTGGAAGGGCCAGCGGAAGTATATCCCGTATGAAGACCTTAAGCAGAGTATTGAAGGCAAGGCTCGCGATCTTCAAGCTCAAGAGCGCTACACCTTGGCCAAGGGCACACCAGAGACCTCTGCAACCAAGGGTGAGGGGGCTCTTGTGGCTACCGGACCTTCTGTGTCACGAATGCAAGGTCATGACAATGCCAATGTCTGCTCCTACTGTGATCGCCCACGCCACAACATTCGTCAATGCCGAGGCCTTCAAAACGATTTGCGAAATGAACGAGTGAAGGCTGGGACAGTGCTTCCTGCTAACGTCGCCTTCAAGGGTAGCTCGAAACACGATCACCCGTATTAGAACTTGAACAAAGGTGGCAATGGATGACACGGCAAGAATAACAACGTCTGCGACTTCAAGGGCAAAAGAAGCAGTAGTAGCAAGAACAAGCATGGAAATGGCGGCAAAGAACGCGGTCAAGATCGATACATGGACCGGTCTCTTGAGTCAGACAATGACGAAGAAGATGACGACGACAGTGATTCTGGAAACAACTGCAAGGCAACTCGCCAAGGACGTCGTGACACCGGTCTCATCGGTGTCTATAACCACAGTCAATCTCCCGTTTAGCCTCACTTCTTAAGCCAAGGTAGAACCCGATCCCACCTGGACGATCGACTCTGGCTGCACTCACCACGTCACTTATGAGTCTCAGTGGTTTACCGACATCACATCCGGTGGAGGATCAAATACGGATGGTGGTAATAATCAAATTCCCATCGAAGGCATTGGACGGGTCGATCTGGAAGTCACTGACTCCAAGGGCACTATGCAGAAGCTTATACTTCGTAGCGTCCTGTATGCTCCCCAGCTCCAATTCAGTCTGCTATCAATTCCAGCAGCTGTGAAGCACGACCTTCGCTTCAACTTTGACCGCAAACAGTGCTATATGCAAACTGACCAGCGCTTCAAGATCAAAGCGCTCATGGCTACCAGCACGGATCTGTATCAGTTCCAAGCCGAACCAGCGGCACCTCCAGCGGCACCTATTGCATCAGGTAAGCAACGCTCCTTTCTGCTCTGACATAAACGACTTGGACACCCTAACGTTCGTGTCTTGAATGGTCTATCTAGGAGCCAGGCCATACATGGACTCGATGGATCTATACATCTAGGTCCAAAGACAGATTTCTCGTGTGTTGCCTGCACGTTAGGGAAGTCACATCGCTCCCCAGTTTACTCTAATAGAGTTGTTAAACGTGCTACAACACCCTTGTCGAAAGTCCATCCAGATATCAGTGGTCCACTACCTATGCCTAGCCTTTCTGGTTGTCGTTACTTCTTGATCTTCATCGATGACTTTTCTCGATTCATGTTCACTTATGCAATTAAGCCGTAGCGAGTTGTATGACTGCTACAAAGACTTCAGGAAGGAAGCCCTGAATATTTCCAGACAGGATATATCTGCCATTGAGTGCTGAAGACAATGCAAACCAGGGCAACTTTCAGATTCAGCAGCTTCAAACAGACAACGCTAAAGCGTACGAGAAGCTTGGTCGCATCATATTTAAATGGTTTGGAACCCACGCCCAGTTTACCAATGCATACACACCTCAGCAAAATGGAGTTGCAGAACGCCGCATGCGTACCATCATGGAGCGTGTCCGAGTCCTTCTACTTGACGGCAAGCTACCCAAGCAGGTATGGGCCGAGTGTGTCTGTCATGTACCAATCTCATCAATATGACTCCTAGCTCCAAGACGGATGGACGAACCCCGTACGAGCTTTGGCACAACCGTATTACATCCATGCAGTACATCAAATTATTAGGATGTCGTGGATATGTCCACACCACGGAGCAATACTGAGACAAACTCGACGCTAGAGCCCGTTTGTGTATGTATCTTGGTGTGCCTAACCATGAGAAAGGCTACCGTCTGATGGACATCGATACTCATGCAATTATCTACAGTCGTGATGTAATCTTTAAAGACGACGAATTCCCCTCTCTCACTGGCCTGACGGCTACTCTAGAGCCCACACAACACACGAATAGACACCAATCTAACACTACATCTGCACCTGTACCTCTGCCACCTGAAACTGCTACTACAGTGGCACCGGAGCCTGAACATGTATCAGAACCAGTGACAACACCGTCACCCACCTCAGGCCCTGCAATGACAACAGCGCCAGCCACCGTGAGCCAACGTGTAATGCCCTCACTGAGGGAGGCTATTGATCGAACAGCCATACATTATTCTTTTCGAACGGAGACGGGCTCTGATCCGCCTCATCATTCGACTACTAAGCGATTTCGCCTCTCAGCGGAAGCCATTGATAGCTCTGAGGAAGCCAATGACGTAGCCCATAGCTCTGAGGAAGACATACACGAACAGGAGCAACGTCAGCATTTACTGTAAACAATGCTAGTTATTCGGTATGTGTCTGAGCCTACTACGTATCGGAAAGCAATGAAGTATTCCCACGCTAACCAGTGGCATAAAGCATCTAAATCGGAATACAAGTCCCTCATGGACAATCACACTTGGGTGTTGGTATCCCCTCCTAAGGGAAGGAAGATTTTAAGTAGCCGATGAATCTTTGTTGTAAAGTATACCGGCACTGGCGAAATCGACCACTTTAAAGCGCGTCTTGTGATCAAAGGATTTCTTCAGGAATATGGCATCGACTACAACGAGATATTCTCTCCTGTCATCAGGATGGAGGTACTTAGACTACTTTTTACTATTGCAGCTCTTCTTGACTTTGAAGTTCACCAAATGGATGTTAAGACAGCATTCCTGAATGGTTGTTTGGAAGAGGAGATCTACATGGCTCAACCGGAAGGTTTAAAAATCTCGGGCAAGGAGCACCTAGTGTGTAAACTTCTTAAGAGCTTATACGAGCTGAAGCAAGCGCCCCGTGCCGGGTACCAAACCCTGACTGCCTTCCCATAGAGTCTTGGGTCCCTGAAACTTATTAAAGATCGCTGTGTCTTTCGACGCACAATTGGTGACATCACCTGTTACATTGCAGTGTACGTCGACGACTTACTGATCATTGCGCCAACACCAGCACTCGTCAATGAGCTGAAATCAGCCCTGAAAAGTCGATTTTCCATGTCAGATTGAGGGGGGGGGAGTACTAACTCGGCTGGTCCATTCAACGTGACCGAAAGAATCGAACGATATTTATCCTCCAGCACAAGTACGCTACGAAGGTCGTTGACGGCTTCAGCGACTACATTCCGTACCCTATTGCAACACCAGCAGAACGGAGCGCCAAACTGTTCGTAAGCAGCCAGTCTAGCAGTGAGCAAAAGAAAGATGCGATGAAATACATTCCGTATCGCCAAGCCGTTGGCAGCATCATGTACTTAATGGTCGGCACTCGACCCGACATGGCATTTTACATGCGAGAGGTCAGCCAATTCCTAGCAATTTCAGGTATGGATCACTAGAAATCAGTCATCCGTGGTCTAAAGTATCTATCTGGAACGAAAGAATACGGTCTTCTTCTGGGAGGCTCGACCGATACTACCTCGGAAAACCTAGCCGATCAACTGATTGCCTACAGTGACTCTGTCTACGCCAGCTGCCCCGACACGAGACGCTCCGTTGGAGGATACGTGACAATGCTAACAGGCAGTCCTATCTCATGGCTTTCGCGAAAGCATCATACTGTAGCTCTCTCTACAACAGAGGCAGAATATATCGCCCTATGTCATTATATGCACGAGATGATACTCCTTAAAATTTTCTCAAAGAACTTGGCTTTGCTACAACGCAGGCTAATACCTTATACGAAAATAATCAGGGCTGCATCAAAATCTGCTACAACCCCGAACTTCACGGATGATCAAAACATATACACGTACGATACTGTTTCGTACAAGAAAAAGTAGAGCGGCGTGAATTCAACGTCACCTTTTGTAATACGAAAGAAATAGTAGCTGACATCTTTACTAAAGTGTTAGACACGCACCAGTTCAGAGAACGAAGGGCCAAGCTCAGGATGAAGTCCCTTGAAGCTATACAATAAGCCATTCCGTATCGTGTACGAGAATAACACTAATGCATGAAGCATGCCTACTTAAATTGCGTCCCGTTAGCTTTTTTCCTACTGGGTTCTATCTTTTGTTCGCACTAAGGATTTCTCCTCGCCAAGATTTCCTTGGTCTTGTACCGAATTATAATAGGCATATGCTATTCAGCATCCATGCAGACACAATTTACTGGTAACATTCATTATCGATAGGGCAAACCCGCAGAAATCCCTACCGACTCCTATCCTTCTACGTCTTCTTGAAGACAATGAAAGGGAGAATACAGGCCACGAAGGTGATCCAATCCATCGCCGACGACACTGGTTTGGGATCCTCCAAGTCAAAATTCCGCCAGGTCTTGTCCTTCTTCCCTTGAGCTCTGAGCACGAACGCGTGTCCAACGAGGCTGTGGTTGTACGCAACAACGAAGTAAAGTCCGTTGTGGAGAGGCGCTTCCTCCAGTATACGTGATCCACGGCGTCCAGCTATGGTGAAGCTGTCTTTGTCGATGGCCTTGAAGATAAAATCACGGCCAGCATCCTTAAGTCGACTCAGAAGCCGAAGAACTCTCTTTCACGAAGTACCCCGTGTGAGGTCCACTCCACGCTCTCGGAGCCCATCAGCAACGAATGTATCATTATCATCTTGCGTCACGATGTCCGGTCGCCCAGCAAGCTCGGCAGCACGCTTCAATGCAGTGAGCATGCATAGGCCTCGGGCATCAGCTTAAATTGCACGCTTGCCGTATTCGTCTTTCTGGGCAGAAGTTCTTAAACTTTTTCATATCGGAAGACTATCCGCGATCCACGAGGTCCAACGCCTCAGCGAAATCATCGTCCAGCAACTGTTGACGAGGCTCCCATGTACGATGATAGTAGTGTCGATTTACAAGCAGACGATTGACCCACAACACACGATACTCTGAACCAAGAGGAGACTCACGGCGATCATTGATACCGCCACGCTCCAGGTCTTTGCTGTAGTTGCATAGTCAGCTGTGATAGCCACTTACTTACTGCTGCAGTACTTGCCGTATATCGGGTAACACATTTCATCATCAGATTAGAGCTCGGTGTCAGAAGTGGCCAGAATGGTGGCAGTAGCTGACGCTCGGTGGTTGCAGCCAGTCCGGTGATAGAAAATATTTGTGCGCTAGCATTAATACTCTGGTCCGTGGGCTTTACGAGAACCCTGGCCTGTTCTACCAGCCGCCTGCTCTATCTCTTCGTGATGTTTGGCTTCATCGGTCATGCAACCTGCAAGTTCCGTCAAGATCTGAGCTACAGTCTGGTCTGCAGGTTGAGCCCATGTCACTATGGTCCTATAATTCAATGACTTGAGAATAATCTGCCGTGGCATCTGCAAGATACTCTGTCGGCCCACTCGCCGACGCTCCTGCACCACTGCGCGAGCTGCACGACGCTACACTGCTCACTGTGGCTGTTGTATCAGCAATCTCTACAGTGATCTCGGCCATGGCGGCTCGAAGGGCCTCTGAAAGCAAGCCACCAACAGCCTTCTATGACTTGCCCCCAGCGCTCTTTTTTAACCCGGCCCCCGCGGCCTCACGCCCTCTGGTCACCAAGCAATCAGCCTCCACGCTGAACTCGACACCAGGACCTTGGCTCTCCTTGCGGTCTGCCGCCCGCTTGCGCTTGCGCTCTCAGATCTTAGATGCAGTGCCGAGCTTCCGTTTCTCCAGGCCTTTCGGCGCTGATGATGGCGTGCCCGGCACCGGTGCTGCAAAGCGAGCAGTCTTCGAGATCGTTACCGTGGCCTGCCCGAGAAGTCCGTCTTCCCAGACAGCAAGACTGGATAAGAAAGTTCGAGTCGCTAGCTCGGGGCTTCCTCGGCTAACGAGTATAAAGACTGGGCATTTGCAAAGACAATCTTCCCAGACCTGTAATATTGAATTGTTTCTGTGATGTGTAAAGTATGAAAAGATGCAGGGAGGCTGTCAATAATTGCACCTTTACACAGTAGCATATTGTACCAGCGACCTCTGGAAGCTGATGATCCGATACAAAAGGTCTCGTTTTGTTAGTCAAGATGCAACTATGCTATAGTCTGTACCAGTGTAGCTCTCCTAAAACCAATCATCTTAAGTCTGCGTCTAGACAGCCTGCTTGCAGTGGGCCAACTCTAATCTACCTCACTTCGTCTTTTGACGCCTACAAGTAGCTTTTGCGTCTCTCTTAATCTTTTCTACCTGCCTACCTAGCCGCCTTCTTGATGTCACAAAATCATTCAAGTTTTACTAGATATGGCTTTAGAGTTTGAGCTAGGTGCATCGACCTGTTTGTGTGCTTGCCGGATCCTTGGATGTTGAGCCCAAAATGCAAAGCAATGTGAAACGGGCTACTGTATGATCGTCGAGCCTATCCGATGTCCCGGTAGTGCTTATTAGTACTTCTCCGATTAAGAAAAGAATTAACAGCTAGGTTTTCTATAAAAAACTTGCATGTGTGATTGGTCAATGTCCATTCTGAGAAGGGTCCGATTGGTTAAAATGAGTTCGTATGAGGATTTGTATGCACACGGATTGAGAGTAATTGACGCGAAAATGGATTCAATTGCTTTTAGTGATATACCACTAGACTAAGCTCAGTTTGCACTTTTTCAAGTATATTTTAAAGTTTAATTCTCGTTTTTTTACGTCAAAGCAAAAAAAACTCCACCACTCCGTAAAGTGATAGCTCAAATGGTCAGGCATTGGCAAAATTGGCGGGAAATTTGTTCATATAAAAAATCGTGCTGACGCTACGTAAGTAGAGCTTTCAAACTAGCTCAACCACGCTTCCGTTTGAGCTGTACGACCGATGTTATCTTCGATTTAAAGAACTGTTATTAATAAAAAAAAATCGGACCAGACAAGTAATAAGAACGGCTTATCACATGCGTGATAAAAAAAACTTACATGAAGATGCAAGCGACTTGTTTTTACATAATTGGCGTACCGGCCGTTTCGTCCGGGGTTCGCAGCTCGAAGCTGATCTATTTCTAAAAGTAATACATGGACATAAATTTATTAAAGTTTACATGTGTGAGAGCGACAAAAAGCGGAAAAGTAAAGAGTGATGAGAACAAAGAGAAAGGAGAGCGCGAGACTACAAAGGGCGGTCCTTACTTGGTATGAATGACAGTGATGTTCTGGAGTTAGGTGTCGACTTCGCAGGAATCATGGGCGACACGAGTGCGAGCACGATAATACAAAGTGCGATTCATACTTGGTATCAATGAAAGTGATGTTTTGGAGCTTGGTGTCGACCTGGCAGCAATTTACAGCGCATTCATCGCCATAACAACCAGTCAGCTTCCACCAGACGTATTTCCATTGCGCATTGTAGCCAACTTCAAAGGCGCTCTGAACAACGTGAGTCGCCACGATGTTGAGTACGTACTTGGACAACCGGACAGTCGGTTCGGCCGCATGGCGCCGTTCCTCGATGTCATTGACGTAATGCCAATCCAGATCACCCAAAATGTAGGGACGGCCAAGGGCGTCGTCAATGGTACCCTCGGATCGCTTGAGTACATTCAATTCCCACCAGAGACTACTTCTCGCCCTGTGCGAGATGGCGCCACTGGGTCAATCATACATATGCCAAGCCACCCACCAAACTATGCCATGCTTCGCCTACCTCGACCTCGAGCGCTCTCTTTTCGGCCAGAGCTGGACTCAGAGCTTTTTCCTGTGTTTCCCACAACCGAGCCGCTTTCACAATGCCGGATCACACTCCCACCAGCTCCGAACGGCGAGCGCCGCTATATTGCAGTGAAAATCCAGCAGTTTCCATTCGTTTGTGCAGTCGGCTCCACCATCTACAAAGTGCAGGGAGAAACGCTGCACTCTATACTGGTAGTTGACTGGAAATCGAAGAATAACATCATTTATCTTCTGGTCTCGCGAGTGACCTGCCGAACAGCGTTCAATACACTGCTTCCACTAGCCCCAAAGCTTGCAGAGTGGTCGAGGCCACCACCAAATGCACTTGATGAAGAAAAATGTCTCAATCAACTCAGCGAATCTACCATAGCAGCCTTCGAGCGCGATACGTAGCAGCAATCAGCCAATGCGCATGCTGCCATATCAATCTCGTTGCAATAAGAAACCGCTTTACATTGAATGGGTCTTCGCTTTAACCTCTTAGTAATACCTTCTGCTTGTTGCTCGCACCGCGACTGAACTCGTTTAATGTATTTCACGCGCCTCGACCGCACACATTTAATGTGCTGCCACTGCTGCTGGTCTCTTTGCTCTTATCCGCGAATGGGGGCGCACTTGCTCGATGTGCTGCCATTGCTGCTGATGCCATTGCTGCCGTGCATCCACTCTTACTCGCCCACCTCTTTGCTCCCCTCCGTGAATGGGGGCGCGCTTGCTCAATGTGCTGCCATTGCTGCTGATGTCATTGCTGCTGATGCCATTACTGCCGTGCATCCACTCTTACTCGCTCACCTATTTGCTTTGCTTTTCTTCGCGAAGCCATCTCGTCCGAATGCTGCCATACATCCGTCGTGCATGTCACAATTTCCGCGCATTTTAGCGCGGACAGAGCAAAAGAGTGACCATTTAATGACACATGTTGGTACGATTGTTGCCTGAGCGCTGCCAAATGTTGGTATGATGCTACGCGACGTGGGCGCGAAGGTCGTAAGATTACAAGAATTCGACTGTTCTTGCATTGGCGTACCGGCCGTTCCGTCCGGGATTCGCAGCTCGAAGCTGATCTATTTCTAAAGGTACTGATCGATTTCTAAAAGTGATACTTCGAAAGAAATTTCTAAAAGTATACATGTGTGAGAGCGACAGAAAGCGGAAAAGTAAAGTATGATGAGAACAAAGAGAGAGGAGAGCACGAGACTACAAAGGGTGGTTCTTACTTGGTATGAATGACAGTGATATTCTGGAGCGTGGTGTCGACTTGGCAGGAATCATGCACGAGCGCGAGCACGAGAATACAAAGTGCGATTCATACTTGGTATCAGAAAAGCGGAAAGTAAAGTGAGATGAGATCAAAGAGAGAATATATTGAGGGCTGGTAGCGTATGTTGGTAGCATGGGCGAACACGAGACTACAAGGTGCGATTCTTACTTGGTATCAATGAATGACAGTGATGTTCTGGAGCTTGGTGTCGACTTGGCAGCAGCTCCTGTAGAGACGTAGCTTCGTCGGCGAGAATGTAAATACGTTCCCCGGTTGCGGCAAGCGTGGATCTCCTACGTCGATTTCGTAGAGCGACATTGTGATAAGGAATTGGTTTGCATTGAATGGATCTTGGCTTTGGGCTTCTTGGTTATCCTGTCATATGCAAAACAGTGAGTAGTTTATAATGGATGTGGATAGATGCACGACAACAAGACGCTAAACCTTTTGTTGGTCTTTCAGTGGCTCTAGCGCCTGAGCCTCGCTTAGATATAGTCGCAAAAAGTGCAGGCCTCTTACTGTCTCCGCGGTTGTCCACAGCAGACGCGCTCTGATGCGAGCCGACGATCGTATCTCTGGGTTCGTCATGTCATTTTTCGAGATGAACTCGCGCAAGCCTATTGCATTCACAAAAATAATTTGATCGTATGAATAGCGTAAGATAGTACTAAACATATATAGCGCTTACTATCAATCGTATCGAAAAGTTGGTGAGGATGAACACTCATCGTCTTGCGAAGTTTTTTCAGAGGAGATACGTACTTGGGCTCTGGGCTGACATCGAACGTCTGTAAGTAAGAACATAAGAACACAAACACGCATGTAAGTTTTGCCGCTAAACTGCCGGTGATGGAGTACCTACTTGCTGTCGAGAGACTTTTATCAGCCTTTCCGGGGTTGTCGGCGTAGCGGCGACCGCTGGCATTGTGATGCCTTCTGGTAGATTATTCTTTTCTGGTAGATAAATTTCTTTGTCTCGTTTCTTGGGCGGCATCGATCGAGTGCTTGGTGTGGTGTTCTATCTGTCGGACGTAAGACTGGAAAGTGAGAACTGCTTAGAACATCGTGTGGTGCTTGAAAACGGATTTTAACCGTCAAGTTTTGCAGGAGACATGACGGTCATGGTCTGAGAGTAAGTGCTTGAAGTTGTGGCTTCTCTCGTGTCTGGCATTTAGCCGCGGTGGAATATTTGAGGATGTTGAATTCAAGTGCCATACATAGGGACAGGACTTCTCGCGTGCTTGGTGTTTGCGAAAGGTACAAGTGGATTCACCGTGAGGTGATTTGCTTTTTTGTATATAACTGTAACATGGCTGATAGATGGTTGGATTCGACGTGAATGAAGATGGTTCCCCGTAGTTGTATTTTGGTACTGGTAATTGATATCACTCCTGTCGAGTATATTGGTGAGGTATACTGTACTGGATCAACAGTTTTTTTGTGAATATGTCCGTGTGCGAATCGTGTTCAGGTGGGATTCAAGTGCTTGTGCAGCTCGGCGAGACGAGCATCGAACCTATTCGACTTCATCGTCATAGTAAAATTTCCACGCACGTCAAAAATCAGCAAGAAAGCGTCGGTAAGGAAGGATGACTTTGACGTCAGAGGAGCGTCGACGACGCAATTCTGAATCCGTTCGTCGTCTGAGAGCGCGCGAGACGCAAGAGCAATATGAAGAGCGTCTACGACGTGTTAGAGCGCGATACTACGCAAGGAAATCGAGCTCGTCAACGGCGCCAACTTCACGAGAATCGTCGATATCACGCACACCGTCAACCGAACACAAATTCTTCCAACAACGGTCGCTGTGCTTCATCTACTCGCGGTTGGGCTGACAACGGTGTATCACGATTATATCCAATACCTCTCTCCGAACAAAATGAAGCTCTGCGGCGCTTACGAGTAACCTTAGGTGCCTCGGGTTTGGAGGAGGTCGTGTGCGCTGTGTGTGATCGATGGACGCTTCAGAAGAATTGCGGGGTCGTCAACATCACTGATACAAAAGCGATCGACAACCTGAGGGTTCTACTCAGCAGTCACGACGAGAATTTGACGTCGTCGTTAATAGCAGACTATGATTGCTCGAATTTGGTTGCAGCTTTGAAGGGGATTCTTTTATCCAAGCGCGGAGTTGACTTGTCGAATGCTGGAATATTGCGTGTATGCGAGTAGTGTGCCGATAGCGTGCGGAAACATCGCATTTTCAAGTTTTCTAATAAGAACGGTTTCTACGCTGGCGACTTGCCAGCGCAACTCGAAGACACAACGCTACCAGAACGCTTGATGACACAGCTTGTGTCCGTCGTCGCTGTTACCCGAGTTATGCGCGGAGGTGTCCACCGAGCCATTCGATCGCACTGTCTTGCGTTCGATGCGACACCTGGGCCTGCAGCGACACTCCTTCCATCACGAATGGATGGAGTCAAAGCTTACCGTGTCGTTTTGGCGGGGCCATTCACAACAGAACAACAGGCTAGAATTCGCAAGATGCATTGCGTGCGCCGGCAAGTTGTTGATGACTTGCTCCAATTTTACTGTACTCACAACCCGCTTTACGCGGATATTTTTATCGACCTGGCAGATCTTGCGAGCGAAGCCATTCCAGATTCCATCTTTTGGGACGTCCGCGATGCAAATAATCGTGAGTTCGAGCTGGATCATGATCGAGTTGGCGGTGTTTCAGATTGCGATGCCACTGTCGACGAGAATGAAGTTATTGAGAGACGTGTTGTGTTTGTGTCGGATGACCGTGAGGTGAGCACAGAAGACTCGCCACGCGTCATAAACCTCACCGATGGGAAATCCACATTGCCGCAATTCCTCGTTCGCCACTCCAATCGATTCTCACCAAGTGACAAGCTACTCTTCCCACGAATGTTCCCGCACCTATTCCCATACGGTCGCGGCCATCCTAGTGAATCACGCCGTGTGCCCTTTTCGCTCGATGCATGCATTCGCTATTACTCCATGCTTAGTTCTCGACGATTTACCGAAGACGAACTCTTCATACTGGTGAGCTTCGATCATCTCTCGTTGCAAAAGATGTACACTCAAGTCGCGCTCAAGTGTAAGCGCAACTCGGCTCGCTTTGAGCCGTATAGCGACGTGAATGAGACTGACCTACTGGAAGCACTCAAAGAGAAGGAACTCCGTCGACAAGGACGAACGGGATTGACGGCTCCTAGCGACGACCCCGTCGCAACGAGACTCTTAAATACCGTAGAGCTCAGTTGCGGCGCGATTTGGGGCAGTGACGCGGAGCGGATGCAATGTCGACGTAAGGCATTTGCTTTTCAGACGCGCTATGGCCAACCATCATTGCTCGTGACCTTGTCACCCAACGTGTCCGGGTCATTCGTAATGGCTCAATACTGCGGCATCACATCAGTCGATACATTATTCGATGCTGAATTGTCAGACATGCCACCCAAGTCTGTGCTCCAAAGTGCGAGCTTGAAGAACGACGTTGCCTCGGCACGGCTGTTCATGCACAATATGAACGCTTTTATCGAGCACGTTCTTGCTGTCGACCCTGACAAGATGAACAGTACGCCGTTTGATGGTCTCTTTGGAAAAGTCAGCGCTTACTTTGGGATGGTAGAAACACAGGGTGGAGGAACGTTGCACGCACATTTTCTCGTGTGGCTAACTGCAGCGCCACCAAATTGTGATGCGCTTGATCAAGCAATGAGCGTGCACGGAGAGCAGCAATATGTTAAAGATCTCCAGGCGTACACTGATAGCGTCATATCGACATCGCTCTCGCTGAATATCGACGAGTCAACGTGTCAATTCTGCGATCAGAGTTACTCCAATCTTGAGCCACTCTCAATACTTGGCGAAGCATTTAAGAGAACAGACCGACGCTGCAACGACGAAAGTGCGGAGCCGCTACTAGTCCGATGCTCAAGGTGCAAGACCGAGACTAGTTCACAGCACGTACTGCGACGTGTTCTCTTGGACCATCGACCCCCTTCATGGCCACCTTCACGACGTGAATATACGCCAGAAGAGCTAAAGACCATTGTAGATATTGAAACACCACGCCGAGGCTCGGTCGCGAACGCAAAACAGGCGATATTTTTCCGTGATTCGTTTCTCGCTGAGCAAGGTGATGAGCCAGACTTACGAGGGGAGGAGCAGCGATGGATGAACCGAGCTCCTCGATGCAAAGCGCAACACGGAGATGAAATATTCGCTGACGATGAAGTGGCCAGGTCGATTCAAAGAATGCCCCCATCACTGGACGACTTGCGGTGGTCATCACGAATGTTCGCATTTGCAGTATCAATGCTTGTGTTCCTGTTGAATGTGCATTGGTGGTCCCATGTGGGGAGTTGTTTCAAGAAAAGTCGGTCGACAACTCCAGATTCGTGTAGATACGGGTTCCCCCGACCGCCAGTTGCTCAAACAACATTTACTAGAGACGGTGTAGTCATCGCAAGGCGTCCAGCATGCGAGTACGTGAATAACTATAACCCTATCCTGATGGCAGCGTTCAAGTCAAATCACGACGTACAGGTAATGGCTGGTGGCGCCACCGCACTTTTGCGGATCTATTACGCTACCAAATACGTGACCAAACGACAAGAACTGGTAGAGTCACTGACTGCGGTTGCACTTGCTGCGTTTCGAAAGCGACAAACACGTGAATTACTCCATGAAAGAAGACAACTAGACCGCGCCAGTGTCGGGCGTCGACGTGTGGCGTCTCTCGCATTCGCGCTATCAAACCGACGAGAGATCGCCGGCCCTCTTGCCGCCTTCTACCTGTTGCGAGGATCCTGCTGTTATGCAAGCACACAGTGCGCAAAACTGCCTTTGATAGATATTATCAAGGAGTTGTTGCAAGGCGAAGTTCACACGTGTGACCTTGTGCACCTCTCAGAGGGTAAATCAACAGCATTGTACCGGCCAGTCTCGCTCTTAGATGACTATCGATATCGGCCGATTCACTTGGAAGAAGTTTGTCTCTATGAGTTAGTCATGAAGCATTTTCGCCGCAAACAGACTCAGCCACGGCATTATTTCAACTTGGGCATCCCTTAGCGAACACACACTGCGTCAGCACGCACCTCAGTGAAGTGAATCCAGTTATCGGAGTTCATTTGCCGTACGAGGACTCAGAATCGCCCCAGATCTCGTATTGAAACGACGCCAATATGTCCTGACACTTTGCAAGCCATTCCAACAAGTGTCAGACTTGGACGGCATAACCAGCGAGACATCGTGGTTAGCAGCCTACGAACACTGGATGCCAACTCGTTCTAGCTTTATTTGCGAAATCATGGCGAATATAGACGACTTTCGACGCGCCGAAAGGCAAGCCAAAGAGGTCAATGTTGACGAGGAGGAAAGTCAGGAAAATGCCGAAGAGGAAGACGCAACTGGAACACGTGAAGAAGTTGATCAGATGGCTGAAGTCAATGATGAAATCGTCGACACTAACGTTGATACATGTATAATATGTGACGACGACAACGTCGCGCATGGAGACGAGCTACCCGTTTTCCCGACGTTAAGAAATGAGAACAACTCCGCGACCGAAATGTCTGCTTTCCAGAACTTGATGGCACCTCCTGCTGAAGCGACTGCTAGTACATTCGCCTATTTACACCACTCCGCGACGACAGAGTATCCAACATTCACGATTGAAGAGTTCAACCAGTGGCTCAACTCATCATCGACAGATGAAGCTGCGCCATCGGATCATCGTCTCGATGAGCGACCGACAGAGGTCATTCAACTCATTCTTAGCGCATTGGAACCTGTCAACACGAGGCGATTACCCAATACGTATCCAGTGGACCCAAACGTTCAGCAAAATTACGCTTCGATTGCCAGCATCTCGCACGCGTTCACACTGAACCACCGGCAACACATCGTGTTCGCCACCATTGCGGCCGCACTACTTCGTCGCTTTCTCAAGCAAGAATAGGGAAGCGTCGGGATCGACAATAGCTATCGCAATCGTGATTATCAGACACAGCTCCGCGAAGAGCAGCTACGTATGTTCCTGGGCGGCGCCGTAGGCACAGGAAAAGTCCAGAGTCATTGATGCTGATACCGCCTTCTGTAATAGCTGGCGCCGCGAAAACTGTCTTATTAAGACGGCATTAACTGGGAAAGCCGCCAGTCTGATCGGCGGTCGAACTTTGGCCAGTTTTCTAATGCGGATCCATCACGCAATCCAGAACAGAACATTTGCTCCTCTCGACTTACTGGTTATGGACGAGGTATCAATGATGACCAAGCCCGAATGGCTAAAGCTCGACAAACTTCTTCGGCGCTACATGCAGGTGCCAAATGTTTTGTTTGGTGGAGTGCACATTGTGCTGGTCGGCGACTTTCTCCAAATGCCACCCGTCGGCGGGGACGCCATTTATGTAGACCCGAATACAAAATCGCGCCCAAGCACTACAGACATTGGAGGATTCGAGCTATGAAGACAATTCACAACCGTGATCATTCTGGAAGAATCGGTGCGGTTCCTTAGCGATCCCGAGTGGGGAGACGGTTGCAAGATGGCGCGTCTTTGTCAGTGGAGTCCCGAATTTATCAACATTATCGACAGTCGTGTACTCAATCCATCCACCATGGCCGATCGTATTCGGGGCTCTAGCATCTTTGTCACTCCAGAGAACACCAAACGTCAAGCCATCAACAGCGCATTCATCGCCATAACAACCAGCCAACTTCCACCAGATGTATTTTCATTGCGCATTGTAGCCAACTTCAAAGGCGCTCTGAACAACGTGAGTCGCCACGATGTTGAGTACGTACTTGGACAACCGGACAGTCGGTTCGGCCGCATGGCGCCGTTCCTCGATGTCATTGACGTAATGCCAATCCAGATCACTCAAAATGTGGGGACGGCCAAGGGCGTCGCCAATGGTACCCTCGGATCGCTTGAGTACATTCAATTCCCACCAGAGACTACTTCTCGCCCTGTGCGAGATGGTGCCACTGGGTCAATCATACATATGCCAAGCCACCCACCAAACTATGCCATGCTTCGCCTACCTCGACCACGAGCGCTCCCTTTTCGGCCAGAGCTGGACTCAGAGCTTTTTCCTGTGTTTCCCACGACCGAGCCGTTTTCAAAATGCCAGATCGCACTCCCACCAGCTCCGAACGGCGAGCGCCGCTATGTTGCAGTGAAAATCCAACATGTGCAGTCGGCTCCACCATCTACAAAGTGCAGGGAGAAACGTTGCACTCTATGCTGGTAGTTGACTGGAAATCGAAAATAACATCATTAACAAGCCACAGCAGACATATCTTCTGGTCTCGCGAGTGACCTGCCGAACAGCGTTCAATACACTGCTTCCACTAACCCCAAAGCTTGCAGAGTGGTCGAGGCCACCACCAAATGCACTCGATGAAGAAAACCGTCTCAATCAACTCAGCCAATCTACCATAGCAGCCTTCGAGCGCGATACGTAGCAGCAATCGGCCAATGCGCATGCTGCCATATCAATCTCGTTGCAATAAGAAACCGCTTTGCATTGAATGGGTCTTCGCTTTGGCCTCTTACCTTCTGTTTGTTGCTCGCACCGCGACTGCACTCGTTCAATCTGTTTCACGCGCCTCGACCGCACTCGTTTAATGTGCTGCCACTGCTGCTGGTCTCTTTGCTCCCATCCGCGAATGGGGGCGCACTTGCTCGATGTGCTGCCATTGCTGCTGATGCCATTGCTGCCGTGCATCCACTCTTACTCGCCCACCTCTTTGCTCCCCTTCCGCGAATGGGGGCGCGCTTGCTCAATGTACTGCCATTGCTGCTGATGCCATTGCTGCTGATGCCAGTCCACCCGAGCCCACGGCCACGCCCACGCCCGCTCCTACTCGCTCATCTCTTTGCTTTGCTTTTCTCCGCGAATGGCGGTGAAGCCATCGCGTCCGAATGCTGTCATGCACCCGTCGTACATGTCACAATTTCCGCGCATTTTAGCGCGACAGAGCAGAAGAGTGACCATTTAATGACAAATGCTGGTACGATTGTTGCCTGAGCGCTGCCAAATGCTGGTACGATGTTACGCGACGTGGGCGCGAAGGTCGTAAGATGACAAGAATTCCTTGGTTCAGCACCCCCAACGACAGTTCTAACGAGCTGCGAATTTAACCTTTCTTTTACATGATGTAACAATACATGCACAGCAAAAACGTTTGCAGCACTGTTATTGATAAGAAGAACGACAAATGCCTTCTAAGTATCTTACGTCTTACCAGCTTACGGTCTTACTTCAGTACTTTGTGATTTGACACATGAAACGAAACTCGTCCAATATTCCTTGGTTACCGGTATTCATTATTCATCATTTTCTCTTCTTATCCGTCAATGTCAGTTATTCTCACCGATTCATCATTTTCTCTTCTTATCCGTTAATGTCAGTTATTCTCACCGCTCCACAAAAAGGAGTTTCCATACTCCACTTCAATGGTGGTGAATTAAAAACAAGTGCGAACGACAATATTCAAGGCATCTAGCATTATGAATTTTACGACGAACACACAGAGCTACCCGATATATCCATAGGAGGTGTTTACTGAGGTGTTTCAGGCTCATCCTCAGCAGGAGCAGGGGTAGCAGAGGGTTCGCCCAATCCACTTGCCGGGGCAGGGGCAGCAGCGGGCGCAGCAGGAGCGGCACCGGGGGCAGCGGCAGGGGCACCGGGGGCAGCGGCAGGAACAGCGGCAGGGGTACTGGCCGGAGCCTCATCGTCACTGCCTCCTGGAGCGGGAGTAGCTGCAGGTTTTTCGTCATCAGATCCGCTGGCCGGAGTATCATCGTCAGATCCACTGGCCGGGGTATCGTCATCGCTGCCAGCAGGCGCAGGCGAGCCGTGGCAGCAGGGGGGTCACCCGATCCGCTGGCCGGAGTCTCAGCTCCGCTACCGGCAGGTGCCGGAGTGACGGCAGGAGTGTCGGCACCCCTTCCAGCCGGTGCTGGGGCATCGCTTCCACTGTCGTCGCTGCTCTTGGGTGCGTCGCTACCGCTCGAGGGGAGTTCGACGCTTCCACTGGCGTCTCCACTTGTTGCAGGTCCACCGGACGCGGTTCCATTGCCGCATTCGCCCGTAGAAAAGTCCACCGCCCAGAAGTGCACGTACTTCCTGGTCTTGTCGAACGTGTAGCCCGGACCCATAACATTCACCTTGCCGAAGATGGTGCTCTTGGCAGTCGAAGCCTTGGTCCACGCGGCGACAACACTCGCCACCGTTCTGTACCCGGCACCCACGATTTCTGTCACCGCTTCGGCCTTGAAACCCTGTGCCGCTGCACGTTCCTTCGGCGTCGTTCCGTCCGACCCCGTGCTCTTGATGAAGTTGTTGTCGGCCATGTCATTCGACTGGATCTGTGCCGCGTCCATGAGCATTTCGTTAAGACACAACTCATCCAACCCTTCCTTCTTTCGGGCTGCGTTAATGTTGTCCAGCATTTCCTGTCGGAAGTTCACGGCCTGTAGAGTACGGTGGTGGCCGTCTGCCGGGAATGCGCTCACAGTGGCGACTAGGGCCATGGAGGCACAAACGAGAACGTTGCGGACGCTAACCATTTTATGCTGTTTAAGTGTCGGTACGAAGGGACAGAGCTGGTTATCGCTCTGTGGGGCTGCTGTCTGGAGATCGAACGATCGGTGTCGGTCGGTCTTGAGCCAATTGCAGAATGAAAGGGTTAGCTAAGCGTTCACGCAGCTTTGCTGGCTCGACGCGGGGACAGCCTGGACATGGGGCAAAGCTGAGGATAAGCCGAGGATCGGAAAAGGCTTGTCCATGACCCGGCAAAGCGAGCCAAGCCGATACAAACGCAAGGAGCTTATTCGTAGCCGGTGCAAAAGAAAACTTTCCATAGCAACAGCAAGTGAAAGTTGCAACAAAACAGCAAAAGCTCGAAAACCATCCGACCTTCAGACAATCCTCTTTGTAATGATACCGTCATGAAGCCACTCGTTATCACTATCCGGAGGAATCACTTTCCAGAGCTGCACCAAATGAAGAGGTAGCTGTACTGCGTGAGCGTGCGTCAAGCCCTAATTTGGAGATCTGGTTATATACATACCCGCATCCGTCTTTGCGAACTGTTGGAAGCTCACGGGTCTTCTGAGTCACCATAGCTGTGAATCCTGAAGACCGATGAGCTTATTGTGATGATGTCGTGCTTGCACACTAAAGACCTGATGTCCTTCGGAGAGCAGCTAAACACTGAGCGTAGTCGTAGACGAGCCCATACAAGCGGAGCAGCAAATGTCTTCGCTGAGATTTTTCGGCTCACCAAACGGACAATCTCTTTATTTAAAGACCTCTCAATATTAATAAATGACAATCTGCGGGAGACACTCAAATCTCCTGGAGAGTTTCACTATTTTAGGTATCACTCCGAAGAATCCACTCTATTGTTTTCCTCTGACTCTCACTTTTTCAAAAGAAAAGACCAGATGGTTGAGCTGGTCGAATGCCCGTGAAAATTTACTGCAGTTTTGTCGGCAACATCAACGCTCGGCAACCTCATCAGCTGGAACCAGCTACACGTACCGGTACAAAGTCCAACAATGACAGCACCGTCAAGGTATGATAAGGTAAAGGTATCTCAAACGTACTACGGATGATGCCCACCATTTCGTAAACTTCTTGTGCGTCTTGCCACGAGATTCTCGTAGCGAGAAAAATTGGATTGACCAGATCCAGTGTCACGTGACAGATACCGGTACTGAATTTCAGTCGGAAACCACACGGTAACGTTGAAGTATCTGGCCTGGCGGAACACTCGATAATTTCGCTGCACGATCAGTGTTTCCTCATGACAAGACTTGGCTTCAGTCTTCATCGGTACGACGTTAATCATGTGTGTACAGTACAGTAGCTTCGTAGCAGAAGGCCATGACCAGAGTAACGTTACATACTGTAATGAGCAGTCAATCTATGAACACTACGCAGGCGAGGCGATGCAACCACCACCTCGCACCAGAATACACGCCCGCAACAGTCCCTATCCAGTGGCAAACTATTACAGCCTAGTCCTTCTTCTCCTTGCCATCCTCCTTGGACGCGTCGATCGCAGTCTTGACGATAGTAATCACCGTCTTGATGCGCTTGAACATCACTTGTCCAGTCGACATCATGATCAGCAGCATGAAGACAATCAACGCCCAGTACAAGTGCGACAGCGTGTGGCTCACTTGTCTACAACCAAGCAAAAAAAACGATACAAATGAGTGCACATACCTCCAAAATAACACTAAAAAACTGCTACGTACTTGCAGTCGTAGAGTGGGATATCGTATCCGATGCTCTCGTAGCAGAACAAGTCTTGCGAGATGCGGAACACGAGCAACGCCAGTGCCAGGCAGCCAGGGATCAAATAGAACTCCAGGTTCTTGTACGGGTCGCGCTCGGCATTAATCTCCAGATAACGGTGACGTTCCTTCTCAATCTGCTCGGCAACTTCATGGCGATAGCGCAGGATCTCACTACGTCGACCCATACGAGCCCCATCGTCAAAGACGTCCATGGCTCCTTGCAAGCAGGCCTTGTGGTGCGCCTCCAGCTGCTGTACGGGCACGTACTGACACTTGGAGCCCGCAATCGTCTCCATCTCTCGCTTGTACCTGAGCAGAGCCTTGTCTCGTTGGTTGACGTTGTTGGCTTCAGCTGTGGCTTCCAGCAACGTCTTGGCCTCGGGGAAAATGGAGGCTTCACGGAAGAGTCCAGCGTACGTCTTAATATACGTGTAGAGCTCCCGCGAGGTCACCGCGACCCCGTGGATCTTCTTGGGGAACAAGTTAACCGGGTCGAAGAGATCGTCCAGGTAGGCGGTCAGCAGCTCCAAGAAGCGGCTGTCAATGGCCTCGACCGATCCGTCGTACTCGCGCTCGGTCACTGCGTGGCCAGGGTGGGGCAGCAGGAAACACGCCACTTTCTCAAAGCACGAGCTGATCTGTTCACGGGTATCCGCCAGGTCTTTTTGTTTACGGGACGACAGCAGCTCGACCATGTATTGTTCCATATCTTCTCGTTTCTCGGCCAGACTCTGGTTTCGAGAGAAATCCTGCCAGTCTCGCACCAAAAAGTCGAGACGTTGGAACGGACGAGGACGTTGCGGGACACTGGCATCGTCCTCGTCTTCTTTGTCGTCGTTCTCTTCCTTCTTCTCCTCGCCCTTGTCACTCACTGTGGACGACGATTTTTCCAAATTGCGATCCGATAGCGACGCGGCACGTTGCAGCGCTTGCTGTTTGTCACTCAGGGACGTCGACGACGTGGCATCTCCAAACAGCGCCATCCTGCGGGTAGTATTTTTCATAAATTACCGTAAAATAAAATAGTCATATTTTAACTTCGCATGGGACACGCACCGTCCATATTCCGTAAATAGAGCAAGATGTTGCAAGTTGTCCTCCTGGACGCGCTTGTCCACATTGTAGATCTGATACGAGCTCAGCAGCGTGCTGAGACCAAAGATACTCGCTGTGAGCATCTGCGACGTCTCCGAGTCGAACATTCCTTGGGTATCGATCAGGAACACGGCAATGTCCTCGCCCGTCTGGCTTTTGCGGATAAATGGCTTCTCCCACATCCAGATGCCCGTGGTGTTGCGCTTGCGGCCTGCTCTCCAGCTGAATCCCTTCTCTCCATACGTTTCCTCAATGTTCGAGTTGCCCTCGAGCTTCCCTTCGCCGCTACCGGTCACACCTTCCATGACCCAGGCCTTCCAGACCTCCGTGCTCTCGTCCTGAGCACCGTCCGGCTTGAGCATGCGTCCGTGGCTGGCGTGACGAAGATAGCGGAGGAATAAATCCAATACGAAGCTTTTGCCCGTGCGGAAGGCGCCCACGACTGAGAAAATGGCTACTTTCATGTCCTCGGGCACCTGGTGGAAGATGCCACGCAGCGCTTCCTCGTCGAGCATGAAGTTGGTGCCTTCGTCATTGATACTGACGATCTGACGCGCCTTTGGCAGCTCCTTCACGGGCTCCAGAGTCACGGGGGCTGGAGGTGGGGACACGGCAGGAGGCGACGAAGGAGACAGCGGGGGGGAACTCATTTCTTACTGATCTTGTATTTCTCGATCAGGAATCTGCCGTTTCTATCGCGCAAACATGTGATTGGTTGAAATAAACGGTATAGAAAGCTCTGATTGGATACGAAAGAGAGTTAAGTGATAGGCGACCTTCATGGAAGATGGCTACACTTTAGTGGATGCTGGGAAAAATGTACTGATCGGATTGAAGTTGTAACATGGATACAATTGCTTTATTTGCAACCTACAAGTCGTGGTGATAGAACTCATAGCCAGGAAGCTAGAATACTGATTGAGACCAAGACGAGAAGCGTAGGTGATCGAGACACCGCGGCTGACGACGATTCGACGGGACCCGGCAGCCAAGCAGGCGGTATAGTCTTCGGGAGTGGACCACCACATCATGGAGCAGAGATACCAAGTAAGACACACGCTGTCCTCGCACGAAGTCTGTTGATACGACTGCGTCTGTGAATTGTAGTAATACTGCTCCACCAGCGCCGAGTCGGTGGCTGCGCTCCCGATGAAGCTGTTCATCTCCGACCACGACAACGAGCTGACATTGTACGCCGTGCTGACCTTGAAGAGCAGCTTCCAATCGAGAGTCTGGCTGTCGTCCGAGATATTGGTGCCATACACAGTGAAGTCCATAAGGTCGTACGTGCTCGGGTCAAAGTCCCAGACCATGAACGCCGGGTTGTTGTAGAAGAGCGGCGATATGGCTGCAGACATGAACAGAGGCACAAGCTGCGAGTTTGGTCGCTGTTATCAGCTGCAATGACTTCGTCTGGATCATGCGACTCCATGTCAGCGGTGAGAGGCAGACGGAACTCGACACTGTGCGTGTGGCCGAAAATCTGCGCCTTGATGACATCCGAGTATTGCGTCACGATCTTCTTGTATGAATCGATGTACGAAGGTTTCCACATTGGAGAACCATCTTGGGCATTGATAATCGGTGGGATGTGGCCAGCGATATACGCGAACTTGTTGCCGTTGCGAAGACCCCAGAGTGTGGCATTCAGCCAGGCAAACTGGTCGAACGGATCAGTCTCGTTAGTGGTGTCCGGCTTGTGCTTCGGCTGTATAGATCAACGAATTACTTCGGATAGTAAAAATGCAGTTGGAAATAGCGATAACTTACCGAATAGGGTACTGTATTAAGTGTAAGCAGCACGAGTTTCTCGTCGAGCTTATACGACAGGTAGCCCCGGGTGTTGAGTTCGTTGCACTAAGTGACTCGCTCCACGCCTGAGACACAGCTTCAATCGTCGGGTTCTCCTCACTGGAGGGGTCAGTGACGCTCATCGTATAGTCTGCATCACAGCAATTTAGCGTTAGCAATAGCGATTACAGCACAGTTTAAGGGAATAGAAATTGGCGTACTCTTAGTGTCAGTGTCGCCCAAAATGGCCGTAGCGTTAAGCGTGCCGTTTCCGGAGAAGTATCGGGCCATAGTCTCCACATTGACTTTCACTGCTTCAGCGAGGTATTCATCCGATGGATCACCATGGACTGCATGGTCTCCAGTATACAGGAAGAAGTCTGGATCGGAAAGTACTTGCTTAGCGTACTCGAGCGCTGAGGTCAGCAGACTGATAGGGGCGTCATAGCCGTACTGGATTGGAATCTCAGCAGATTCGTTGCTGTCCAGAGACTCGGAGATATTTAGGTGGACGTCAGAGAAGTGCAGGATGTGCTTAGCCCCGACTGCTCCATCACCGACGCTGCTACCGTAGCTACCGCTGCCCACGGACCCAACGTGTTCTTGTGATCCTGAGCTGTCCTGGACACTCGTGGATGTGATCTTGCCACCTTGTAGACTCGGCGACTTGGCCTCCGCGTTGAATGTGGTTGTCAACAGTAGAAATACTGGTAGGGAGCGGAGAAGCGAAGGGATCATGGTTGTGAGTTGAGAAGGAGGGTTTGTTGTAGAGAGGAAATTGAGTTATGAACGATGTTGCACTGGTCGCGGTAGATCGCTATAACCTCGTGTTGAAGCACCAACTAAGTCGCTAGTCGGATGCTACAAGAGTTCATGTCTTAGACGGTTGTGGATGCTTGAACCCGAAGGTCTCAGGTGAATTTGGTGGTGTGCAGCCATCATGACGGTACCACGTTATCCGATCCATTAGCGGAATAAGAATTGAAACTTCGTCGCGTGACACTCTAACCTTCCATCAGTGGCAATTGATCATGCATGACCGACCACAAGTCAAACGTTACATCCATGAAGCTCTGACGCATCGTTTAGGCTGATTGGTATCAAGTAGTACTCGTCCACATTTCATGACGATATCAAGATTTCAGAATCTATTCACGTATCTAATCTAATCCAAACACGTTTCTTGTTTTCTGTGTGTGTTTCCTGTCACTGAACCCTTCATCAGACCGCGATCGTAGCCTCCGGAACGGCTCAAGCGCCCAAGTAGCTGCGGTCCGCCACGCTCCAGCTGCATATTCGTACAACGCAGGGGGGACAGGAACTTCGGTCGGTTCTCGTAAGAGATGGCGAGGTGTTCGTTGGCCAAACCGCTGAGACTTGTCCTTGACCCACCACAGCACCGAGTATGTGTCACTAACCCCCGTATCTTCATTGCGTTGCAGCACGACACCCGCGTACCACTGCTCACTGTGGAGGATCTCAACAATATCCCCCTTTTCAAAGATTACAGGAGGCTCTGGTTCCTCCAGTTCCACCTCCTCCTTCGGCACCTTTGCCTCCAAATCTACTTTTAAATTGTTCATGGTAGACGGAGGCTCTTCAAACGTAGCCGACGGCAATGGAGCGAGTGCTGCGTACTGATCTTCTACCTCTCTTAAGTACGCGTTGCCCACTTCGAAAGCCTCAGCAAGGATCTGACGCATCGGACTCGCTACCAACGGAGCCACATCCAGCGCCTGTTCTACGAATTCGTAAGCCCGCTTGAAGCGCTTCACTAGTCCGTCAATCTCGTAGTCGCGGGGGTCCACGGACTGCGCTCGACGACACAATGGACACGAACGGAAGCGATGCTGAGCTGCTCGAGACAGACACGACCAGCAAAACGTGTGGGCACAGGACAGCGTAATAGGCGCTTGGACGTCAGCACACAGACAGATAGGACACGTCAACGCACGTGGTCCAAGACGAAAGTTGCCGTCGGGCAGCACACACAGCATCACTCGGTCTGTAAGTGCCACTGTCTCATCGCATAGTGAATCCAACTCGGACCCATCGTAAAACGACTGGCACTTGAGATCTTCCAATACTTGAGCCTTTAGACGAGCGGTAGTTGTGTAGGTTTCATCGCTATCCTCGTCGTTTTCCGTCTCCTGGAGACCAGCATTCGCAGCCTTATCGAACTTCTTGGCGATCTTAACGAGTGCAAGGCTGTTGAGCACCACGAAGCGACGAAAAGCGTCGACTTGGTTCGACAGCTGGAGAACTTCCAGCAACAGCGACCGAGCGGTGGCAGGCGGCAACACCCATCGCGTCCCCAGCGCCTGTTGCAACGGCTTGAGACCGCTGATGATCAGTTCGTCGAGGATCCGCGCGTGGGCAACATTGAGTTTTTGCATCTCAGACTCTAGAATTGTCTGGAACCACGTCACTCGCTGGTCAAGCGTTTGGTTTTCGATGGCGAATGCCAGTTTGATCTCGCGTTTGAGCGTCTTGTAGTCCACGTAGTCCGTAGCCCACTCCGGGGAAGCCAAGCTGCGCACACGCTTGCCGAACTTCATCCGATTTCAGTATCAGAAGACCAACCGACCCAGAGGAAAATTTCTAAATGAATAAACATTGCCACGCGCGGAGCTTGAAGCAACTGGATGGAGACCACGAAAGTGTCTCGTCTCGAGAGCAACAACGTCCTCGGCTTCTGATAATAGCCACAGTGGCAGCGAATCTCAACACGTGAGATTCTCAAAATGCTCACCAATACTTTTTCTAAATTTGGTTTTGCTGGTCGTATCATTACAAATAAGGAAGTGGTTCTTCGATGTCACTTTTCATCGTTCACTCTAATTAGTCATGCCATGACTAATTATGGTGTTTGGGTTTGAGCACAACATTTTGGAAAAGCTATTGCTCGAGATACCCAAATTTAGAAATAGTGCTATTTGATGTACCCAAATGCATTTTGTGTTTTAAACATAGTTGTCAGGCTGGACTTTAATTGAGCTGCCACAATATCAGCACAGCTACATTTTGCAGCACGTCCGAGATGACAGTGATGATTACAAAAGTTCTCCATTGGGGAAGCTTCGGGATTAAAAAAATATACTTATCACTTCTCTTCTTCAAAGTCAGGTTTAATTACAGTCATTTAGCTGTCCTAACGACCACATTAATACTAGTCACTACTCCAAAGCAGGACATTTTTTTTAAACTTTTTTTGGCTGCATGAATTCCATTCATTTATTTAATGAGCTTGGGCGGTAGACAATTCTATAAAATGCAATACGCTTCGACTCGATGCTGCGGCATTGCTGTATACCAGACCTGTTCTCCGCATAAGTGCCCCTCCTCGTCCACGGACCACTTCGAAGGTTTAGATAGCACTAGAGTAGTCTATTATTCTTTCTTGTGGTATTTTGTGTATCTTAGCAGTCTATGAGGGTATGCAGCATTTGTTACGAAGTCGATGAGCACTTTGCGTCATTGGAGAGGTCAGACCATTCTTCTATAGAGGTTAGTGGATGAACGGGATAATACTACTTAATTTTCTACCAGTGCTGCTGTGGCTGATGAAGGAATAACCCTGACAAACACCATTAACCCTTAGACAAACACCATTTACAAAAGAAAATCAAGGAAAGCTCCAGATTTCCTACAGAGCTATAGGTATACAAGAGCGAAGCGCTTTATAAATGCTTGCTACGGTGCAGGATATCCTAAGGCGCTCCGCCGAAAAATCTAGGAAGCGCACTATTAAAGGCCCATGGCTAATTGTAAGTCAGCGAAACTCAACACTACACGATTAAGTTTTCATGTGTCAGCGTACGATTTGTTGGTCTAGCTCGCATTCAAAAACGCCTACACTTGCTCTAGAATGGGCAATTGTCGCCTCATTTAGGGTGATCGATGTATCACTCTTATTAAGCCACCGCCTAGCAAAGCTGAGGCGTAATATGGCTTCGTGATATATAACAATACATCTCCGCTGTAACTACCTGAGCGAGGCATACCGTATTCTCTTGGTCCAGCTCACGACATTGCAATTCTATGAGGGTCTACAGGCTCATCGAGACCTTTGGATCATTTTTGAGTACATCAAAAAGCACTATTTCTAAATTTGGGTACCTCGAGCTCCCTAAGCTCGAGCTCCGTAGTTTTTCCCTTAAAAACTACTCGTTCTTTTTTTAAACCAAGCATACAGCTGTACAATAAAGTAATTGCCGAGATCTGTTGCTTTTGTTTAGAATTGGTGAGCCATTTCCAGATATGTGACGTCACTAAAGCGTGAGTAATTTCGAAGCACGACTTATTAAAGCGTAAAAAGAATTTTAAGGAAAGTATAAACAAAATGTTTTTTTTCGCTCATCGCTCTTTTTTTTTTTAGAAAAGCGTGCTGTTTCTTGGGCGTTTGAAAAGCAAAGTGCGCCAAACTTTTTACGCCTCCCAGACGAAGCCGCTTGAACGAGCACCTTTGTCCTCCTCGCCGAGGAACGGGTAGTCCGTGTAACCCGCTTCCAGTGGCATGTCGGGCTGAAGGTAAAAAGTCTTCCGGTCGTACGGCGTCAACTTCGCGTCCGCGCGCAGACGCTCGACGAGGTCTGGGTTCGAGATGAAGTCGCGTCCAAATGTCGGCCACTCCATCCTCGACGGTTTGCATGGCTTCGGTGCGGTCAAATCCCGCAGCTGTTATAAGTACTCCGTTGTATACGCTGCGGAAGTGGCGGGCTATCCCGCCCTCAGGAGCATCGAGTTTGTCAGTATGCATTCCGCGACGCTCAATAACGCTCAGATAGGCCAGATCGTAGCCGTTTAGCTTGTTCACGACGTAGCCATAGGTCTCACGCGGGTTGGAGTCACTGCAGCCGAAAGTCTCTCCAAACGGAGACAGGCGGATGCCAACCTTGCTAGACGGTAGACTCGATAGCACAGCCTCGAGCACTTCAAAGAGAAGCCTCGCGCGGTTCTCAATGCTACCGCCATACTTGTCCTTGCGTGAGTTGACACGGTCACATAGAAATTGCTCGAGGAGATATCCATTGGCGGCGTGGACTTCGACGCCGTCGAAACCCGCAGCGATGGCGTTCTCTGCGGCACGTTTATAGTCAGCAACGACACCAGGGAGTTCCGAAATGTCGAGAGCTCGAGGCGTCACGTAATCCTTGCGACCCTCACGAGTGACGCTCCGGCTTTTGGCATTGACAAAACTTGTAGCGCTTGAGAACACAGGTAGTTGGTCATTGGGTTGGTTGAGTGGGTGGCCCACACGACCTGTGTGCCAGAGCTGCATGAAGATCTTGCCGCCTTTGTCGTGGACGGCCTTGGTCACGGGCTTCCAGCTCTCGATCTGGTTCTGGTTGAAGATACCAGGAGCGCCGAAGTAACCTCGAGCCGTGGGGCTGATGTTCGTGGCCTCGGTGATGAGTAGTCCCCCGTCGGTTGCACGCTGTTCGTAGTACTGGACAACCAGGTCCGTCGGCGTGCCAGCGTCACCTGTGCGGACACGAGTGAGCGGAGCCAGGGCGACGCGATGCTTGAGTTGCACAGGGTCTTCCTTTCCACCGAGGGTGACAGCAGAGAAGAGGCTGGGGACGGTGGTGGTGTTCGCGTAGTGAGCCATGGTTGCGAAGAGGTGGAGCTGTTGGTGTTTGAATGCACTTTCGTAGTAGGTAGAAGATTTGAAAGTGAGCATGTACGTTGCTGTGCCGATGAATGATCCACTAAATTTATCGACAGCTAACTGATAC